GAGGTGGAGATATTCCATGTGCTATCACTGATTGTCCCAATTATTCTTATGGTAAATTTTGTGCAGACCACCGAGCGCTTATGTCATTAGGTGATAAGCAAAGAGAAAGAGAGGAAGAGAAAATTACGGAAAGGTTATAAAAGTGGATAGATGACTAGTCAGCGCAAATAAATATATATTGAACAGAAGAAATTACTTTACAATTTAAATGAATTCTTTACAAGAATAATATTAATTATGCCAGGGATATTCAACACCGGGGTGTTATATCTCAAAGACTCCTCAAAAACTTTATGTTAATTAATCTGCTAAAAGAGGTTAGTATGGTCTCGGACAAAATAATCATGACAATGTTATCATGATAGTATAAGAAAGTTATAAATAACTGCTAAAGGAGGAAAGTACAGTCAAACCCCCTTAAATGCTACCCCACGTCCTATGAAACATCTCCCTAAATGCAAGTCTTCTCTTGGCCAACTAATATTACATCTATAGATTTTTACCTCCCTAAATGCAATACCTCTCTAAGTGCACGTTTGACTAATTTTTATATATGGCCCCGTCGCATTGCATTTAGGGAGGTCTGACTATATTTAGGAAAAGTTCTTAATTATTGTTATCGATTTAGCATAGGAACAACTTTAGACGAAAGAAAAAAAGCTAAAGAATAGGCAAATCAATATTAGTTTAAATCTAACGGAATTCTTCTTTTTTTTAAAAAAAAAAGTAATCTTTTTTCTTCGACATACCTTAAATTTGTGTTGCAGAAACTTTGTGTTCCGATCTTGATGTAATTGTCACTTATTCGCATCTTCCACTGCATCGCCAAAAAAAAAGGATCTTTGATGATACATAAAAAAAAAACATTACATAAATTTACAAATAACATCAATAAAATTAAGTTTTCCTAAAATTTTATCTAACTTGACGCAACATGATTATTCTAAAATAATTATTCCTGGCAAAACTTTCGGATTTGACAGAATACAATAACAATAGAAGAAAGCTATTCATGAGATTGTCATTGTTTATAAGGCTTCCCTTACCATGAACGATTTATAAATCCGAAATTATTTTTATAATAATATTCCGTTTTACACAAACAGGCATTGATAATTGACAATGCATTGAGTGAGATATTCAGTAAAATAGTACTGTACGGCAGTAGAGCTTCGGACTGACATGATCGTACGCACCCCTTTTAATGGGTAGGGTTAGAACAAGTTCTAATGGATCTCTTGCAGTATAGGTGAGACCACCACTAATAAAATGCATTATTAATTAATCAATTGATTTAGAATCGTGTTACCCCATACTGCACAAGATTCCGTGCTAATATTAATCTTTTTTTCGTGTTAAGATAAGAACAGGTTGTAGGAAAAAAAATAACTGGTTTGAGGGTTTTTTTTTCTTCTATAGAACGTACTACGTATCGTGTTTCCACATGTCTGTCCCAATTTTGTGTTTTCGTAAAGTACTACTTTTATTATATAACTAACGTTTAACAGTGAAACCATGCAGACGTAAATAGATACAAATAATTAATATAT